AGGAAAGGAATGAAAGGAAAGGAAAGGAAAGGAAAGGAAAGGAAAGGAAAGGAAAGGAAAGGAAAGGAAAAGGAAAAAAATCAGAGAAGTGCCAGGCATGGTGGCACACACTTATAATCTCAGCACTTGGGAAGCTGGGGCAGGAGGATTACTGTGAGTTTGAGGCCAACCTGGGATATAGTGAGTTCAAGACCAGCTTGAACTACATAGTGAGACCCTGTCTCAAAAAAAGAAAAAAATAGGAGAGAAGTAAAATGATTATCCAGAGTCCCAGAGCTGGTGAGACTGGGATTCAAATCTTTCATTCTTCCAGCACCTAACATCACCTGGTCTATAGGTGTGGTCTAGGATGCCTAATTTCTGACAATGTGGCAGGAAAGGAAGGAAATAGTTGGGCTATATTCACCGAGTGCTCAGAGTCTGGAATGCACTATCTGAGCCACCTTGCAAGTTATATGTAAGAATTACCAAGAATTTGGGGGAAAGATCACATACTGAAAGACCACTTATCCTTAGCCTAGTAGAAACGAGGATGCAAGCTACCCAGGTGGGAGGCCACTTCAGAGCCTGAACTAAGGAAAGCAGGCTAAAAGGTAGAGAAGTCATTTAAACATGAAATTCATAGAACTGCACTGTACTTGGGTTTTGAAAGATGGAATTTTAAATCTCTTCTCTCTGTGGACACAGAATAAGCTCTCATTACATGTTACCACAGTGAGCCCAGGCTCTGGACCCAAGAAGTGAATTCGAATCCCGATTCTGTCCTTTAATAGCAGTACGAGTTTGGCCAAATCCTCCAGTGTGACGTGGGGATGATCACAGCACTCCCCTCAGAGGACTGTGGTATTGAGTGGCATTGCAGAGAGGAAGCTCTAGGCTGTGCGCCTTGAGTAGTATAAACAGCAGTAAGGGGTGGGAAGCTTTTGTTAGCGTCATTCTGCTTTACTTGTCTGGTTTTTTTCCCACTTGAAAGTTGTCAGTTTGTGCCCGCTGTCCTCGTTCCTTGCCTCCATCCATGTGGTGACCCTGGGGTGTGTTTAAACAATTGTTTTGTGAGGATTTGGGGGAAAACTGTATCATCACGGGTGTCCCCAACTTGCATGCATCTTACTTATTAGCTTGACTACTATTTTAATATGACTTACTGAGTAGCCAGCATGACCCATGGGTCTACATGACATACATTCTGATTTAAGGAACTCAATTATCTGAGAAACTTGGGACATCTCAGGTTCCAGAAATCTGCCTCACGGGATTAACCTGGTTCACAGGGAAGGTAGCAATTGTATTACCTCCCACCTCAAACTCCTCTGAAATATCAAAGTTTTGCCTCATGTTTGAATTGAGTCATATGTCCAGAAAAACAAAATTGCATTCCTTTGACATAAGACAAATGCCATATGCTAAGTTTATTTTTAAATGGTGGATAAGAACAGGGAGACCATGTTCCAGTCTGAGAAAATATTGATGCCGTGGTGTCAATGAGGCAGGTTATGGTTTAATTCATACCTGCAGATTAAAGAATGAAAAATGAACCCACATCCCCGACCTGACATCTGTGTAAATGGTGCGTAGGGATGGAGGCCTGCCTGCCTGCCTTAATGTTCTCTGGATAAAGTAAATACTGAAGGGCTTGACGTTTTTCCTAAGCCTAACAGAGCTGGTGCAGCTGGCTCCCAGATGCACTGGGAGGGTCCTAGGGGCTGGGAGACAGGGAAAAGGCCAGAAAGTGCCTTGGGGTAGGGGAGTTGGAAGAAGTACAGCCATAGCTCAGGTACTCGTAGGCTTCAGAACTTGTCAAACCCTGTACTGTTGCATTTTGACAAGAAAACATGTTTAAGTACTGGGGGTTGGGGAATCTCGTGGTAGCCCAGGGACAGTGCAGAATCCCTGCTACTCATTGTCACTATCTTGTGCTTTGTGTATTCTTCTTAAGAGTAGGAAAGTTTTATTGGGAAATAGGAATAGCTTCTGAGAGACCAGAGGGGTCCTACAAGTAAGTGTGTTGCCACTGAGGTAATTTCTCCAGAATGTTTTATAGGGCAAAATCGGGAGGTGGATACAAAGTGGGTCAAACTACAATCAACCAATAAGATTACAAGTATAACCACTTAGGTAATATTGATCCAGTAGGAAAGTGGCCACAGAGCAAGGGCATGTGGATGACATCATTAAGCTTGGCTTATCTATGACTTCTAAAACAGGAACATTTTGGGAAGGCATGGGCCCACATACTCCGGTCATCCACTCAGGTATCTGATTTATATCTGCTTCCATCCCATCCCTGTCCATCTCAGTGCTCAGATCTCCTGATATCATCCTCAAGGGCAGACTGGAAGTAGCTCATAAACCCAAAAACGCACATGCCCTGCACCTCAGCTATTCCCCTTCCCATCCACATCCTACTTGAACCTGAGCAAGGAGATTTAGTACCACGTTTGTCATAGCAAGCAATAAGAACAACCTAAATGCCCAGTAACATGGAATAAGGCATGAGTTTGTATAGGATCTAAGTGTTCTCATTTGTAAAATGGGTCCAACATTGGCCACATATTTTATGGAGCTCATTAGGATTAAATAAGAACAGTTCTTGGCAAACAGCAGTCTCTTAATTATTCCTGGTAAAATCACTGTATGAGTTAAGGTTCTCCAGAGGAATAGAATCAATAGAAAATATATGTATAATTATGCAAAGGGGTTATAAGGTAGGCACAGAGGATCAGAGGCAGGAGAGTTGACAATGGTTGTCTGCATGTTGCAGAGCAGAAGGATCCAGCAGCTGCTCAGCCCAAGAAGACGGAAGCCACACAGCGAGAGATATCAAGAATGAAGCACCACTCCAAGGTTGAAGGCCTACAAATTCTCTGGAGAGTCACAAGTATGAGCCCGCATTGGAAAGCTGAAGAAATTGGAGACCTGAAAACCATTGTCCAAAGGCAACAGAAGCAAAGGACACGCCTGCTCAGGAAGACTGGGACTCTTCAAAAACGGAAACGCTTCCTGCTCCTTTCCCTTTTTTTTCATCCAGGCTACAAGCCTATTGGTTGTTGCCACCCATAGTGGGGGTGGTTCTTCCTTGTTCAGTTTGCTGTCCTATATGTCAATCATCCACAGACAAACTCAAAACTGTGCTTTGGTAATCTGATAAGCATTTCTTAGTCCAATCAGTTGACATCATGATTAACAGTCACAACTATTATTATCATTATTATTGCCACTGCAGGGCTTACAGTGCAGCTGTTAAAAAGCATAGTCTAGGGTCTGGGGATTTAGCTCAGTGGCAAAGCGCCTGCCTGGCAAGCTCAAGGTCATGAGTTCGGTTCCCTGTACCAGAGAAAAACCAAAAAAAAAAAAAGCATAGTCTATGTTCTGCAGTAATGGTGATATTATGGGCAAAAAAGTCCAAGTATAAAACAATATGTACATGTACTATTTTTATTTTTATTTTTATATTCATAGCAGCACCAATTGCCTACCCAAAACACATTTGCCCAGCCTGTCTCATTTTGACCAACCTCTCAGGCATTCAGGTAGAACTAGGGAGTACAAATGTGAAGAAACACATTTGGATTTGTTTAAACCTTCAGAAAACAATATTCTATAGTTCTTTTGGATACCTATATGTATATTAATAACATACATACTGTCAGTAAATGTTCAGATCAAATTCCTAAAGAAGCAAGGTGGATAAAATTTGTGTGTATGTGTTGCTTTAATCTGGAAGAATTGAGGGACATACGGACTGGGTGGAGGAAACAGTAACTTATCTCTAATGAGCAGCGGCTGACCTCTAATGTTTCTATTTTGGGGGGGAAAAAATGTCCATGTGTTACTTGTGCCGTTAAAAAGAACCCAGCAGAAGATGTCAAGGTGCTCGATTTCAGCCAGGCCTGTGCCTTTGTTCTGCGCAGGCCTGAGCTGCATCTGTCAGCCTCAGAAGAGGAGGCCCTGAGGGACCTCCTAGAACAGGTGCCCCGTTCCTCGGAGGGACGAGAGCTCTGTGAAAGGAGGGCGCTGGCTCAAGGTCATGCAGAAGAGGCCAGAAGGAGGGGGCAGTGGGGTCCAGATGAATTGCTGGGAAGAAACTAACAGGCACTACAGACCAGCTAAAGTCAAGGGGCCGTGGAGGTTGGCAGAGGATGGGATGAATTAGATGAATATTAAAAGGTTCTGCAGCAGAGACTCACAAAAATTAAAATCCAACCTGCAAGTTTCTCCAGCTTTCCCCATCCTAGTCCTTTCTGGGGCTGTTGGGGGCTGCCTGCTCACCCTCTGGGTCCTTTGATTATGTGCATGTTTAGGAGAACAGAAAGAGAATTTAGAGACAGCAAAAAGAATCTAAAATATTTACGCTAGAAAATACTGAGACCCTTGTGGAGAAAAAATTAGTAAGTCCAGAATGTCGAGGGGCAGAAGTTAGGAGAGAGTCGTGCTAGAGGAGGCTGGGCAGGGTGGAAGGGCTGCAGCAACAGTTGGCCACACTGCAGAGACGGTGGAGTAAAAGCGGGCACAGTCCCTCGCTGAGCTTTGCACAGTATCTCAAGCGACTTCAGGAAAACTTGAAATTGCCCTCGATATTTTCTGGGTGTCAGACTTAGTGTTGTGATAAATGGGACAGCGCCCAAGTTCCTGAAATTTGTATTCAAACTTGCCGGTGCTGAGGGACATGCAAGGAGATAAGAGCTACCTGAAATGCCAAATGCATATGAAGAGAAGGACCCAGCGCCCCCTCTTCAGATTGTACCCCTCAACCCAGCATTGTATGCCTTTGCTCTCTTCCTTTGTTTTAAACAAAGATAAAGATGAGGTAGTGGTTGTGTGAAGCCCACAACTGAATTCCTCTCTTTCGGAGCACAATGACCAGAGGATTTCATAATGGCACCCATTGCCCTGCCCTTGGCCTCTCGTCTCAACTCAAGGACATGTTCTGACTTTCTTTGTAAGCAAATCCTGAGATGGACAAAAATAGTATACACTTTAAATCGTCACAACTCAAATAATAAAGCACACGCACACACGTGTGAGTAGGGGAAGGAAAAAAGCTGACACACGTCTTGCATTTGTGCTGATAGAGTATCAGGTGGGGGCTGAGGGACTTACTTCATTTGGTGCCTTCTTGGAAGAAGTTTAGGATTTTCTATGTTGCTGTAGCATCCACCACAAAGCCTTAGTTTACTTGCTCTTGCTTACCTCACCTGGTGAATGGGTTTGCTATGCTGCATTTGCTGGACAGATAAACACACACGGAGCTGGGCGTGGTGGCGCCTGCCTGTAATCCCAGCACTTGGGAGGCTGAGGCAGGAGGATCATTGTGAGCTCAAGGCCAGCCTGGGCTACATAAGTGAGTTCAAAGCCAGCCTGAGCTGCATAGCAAGACCCTGTTTCGAAAAGACAAAAAAAAGAATACACACGGAGATTTACATTGACATTCATTTGCCAGAGATGACGTGGTTGCCACCTTCTTAGAAGAATGGAAATGATTCCTTTGAATCCCGCCCACGTTGATGAAGAATAAACAACCTTGTTGAAATAGTCGACCTGACCTGGAATGCTAAAAGCCTTTGGTTTGCTCGCTGTAGTGCAAAACTATGAGAAATATTTAATCTTTAAAAATACACAATGGTATCATAATTTTGCTGCTGGTTCAAAAAGTACATGCTCTAACTTAGTATATTTAAAATGTAATGCCATTGTATATTTTCCAAGTGCAAACGGGGGAGTCTGATGAATAGCCAAAGAGCACCAGACCATATCTTATCCTTATAAAAGTGTCTCCCATGAATGTTAGCTGTGTCTCTCAGAACATTCTTATGCGCTCCACAGCAGAGCACACGGACAACGACTCTATAGAAACGTGGGTGCCTACCTGGTGTGCGGTCTGTGTCGGTTCAAAGTGAAGCTTGTGTAAACTTTGGATACCCAGTCTTTTGTTTTTCAGCAAGGAAACAAATCTAAATGTTTATAGTTTTCCAGAACTCTTATATACCTGGGGCTTTAAAATTTCTATTTTTCTACACAATATTTCTCCCTTTTAAAAATAATTAAACCAGATTATTTATATCTTTCTGTTTAAATCCATTTGGATGGTCAATTGAGTGTTTAAAACTGTTAGTTCTATATCATAAAATTGATATATATTCATTGTTAAAAAAAGAAAAAAAATCTGTATGGTGTGTGTTTAATTCAGCTGCAAGTAGCAAAGACAAATATATGGGGATTTATTCTTTCTTGTCAAATCTGGAAGCATGCTGGAGAGTAGCACTATCCCACAGAACTTTCTGCCATGTTGGAAATGTTCTATTGTGTTGTCCGATTCATCCACCTTTTAAGGGGCCTTCCTAGCTGTACTATGTAAACTTCTACTTACAGTTTGCCTACAATGTACATGAATCCCTAGATCCACAAGGGTCTGGGAAATATTTGGGGTTGTTTGTTTGTTGTTGAAAATGTTTGAGGACAGGCAGATAGTAGTCTCTGGTTTTTTTTTTTTAAGTCTCTTTATCTATCATCTATCAGTCTGTCTATCGCTTTTATTCCTCCATCCCCACCCCAAACCTATTATTAATCCTCAGAGATAACTACCACCTATTTCATTGTGCATAACTACCAGGAAAATTCATTTGCATACAAGTATATACACTTTTTTTTTTTTTTTTTTTTGGTTTTTCTTCTGGTACCAGGAATTGAACGCACGACCTTGTGCTTGCCAGGCAGGTGTTTTGCCACTGAGCTAAATCCCCAGCCCCCAGTATATACACTTTTTAACAGCTTTTCTTTTTACATACTCTTGAGAAAATTCCACTTTGCATTTTTACTACATATCTTGAAGGACTTACAGTGACAGTATATTCAGGTCTACAACATTTCGCTTCATTCATTGTAAAATGTACTCTCTGATAGGGTTGTGGCTGCTGTGTTTGTCTCTGTGCCCTAAATGTAGTAGATGGAAAAACTGACCATCACTGTGTCTCATTTTATGGATATACCATCATCTAACCACTCATTACTTCTAATTCCCAAGATAATCTATACCGTCATTTATTTAACCAGCCATTACTTCTAATTCCCCAAATAATTTCCCTCTTCCCAAGAAGAAGCAACCTTGCTTTTTCTCTGAGAACTCTAGAACATTCACTAAATGAGCCATGACCCTGATAATCCAATCTCTTGTCTTCCAAATCAACAAATATTGATTGTCTATATGCTGTTGTGATTCGATTTCCTTGCTATAACAACTCAGATGTATGTGTCCCTTTGCCCTTACTCCAACCATAAAGGTACACGTGGCAATAGAAGCAACACCAGTTAGGGGAAAGTCAAACCAGGTTAAAACAATGATCTCTTAAGAAGAGAAGGCAATCACTGCCTGGTAGATCTAGATGCTCTCTGTGGCCTGGAGACCAATGGAAGGGCACGCTAGACAGGAGGGCAGTGAAGACCTATGGGAAAGGCTCACCACAATTCCCCTGTGGAATCATGTGTAAAAAGCAAGTGTAGTTAATGGAACAGAGAGCATGACAAACCCTAAAGAGGTCACATCTTGGGACTCAACCAAAACACAGCTGGACACCTGGCTCAGCCCCTTCCTAGGTAGGTGAGCCTAGGTAAGTGACCAAATGTCCATGAGCCTCCATTTCCTCATCATTTAAAGGTGTCCTTCACCTCACAGCATTGTTGTGTGACTTAAATGAGACAATGTGTCTCTACCTGTCCTATATCGCTGAGCACACAGCAGCAATCACACAATTAGACCTGTGTGTGTGTGTGTGTTTCCAGAATAATAAGAGCTAGGGCACAGTGTCAAGGAGATTTCAGAATAGAACAGTCACCCACCAGCATTGAATAGCTGAGACCGTTAGGATGTAACTTTACGTGCTTCTGTTTGTCTGTAAAATCATCCCCCCTGAGACAGAGTCCAGTCGTACTTGGGCAGCCCCTCACTGACAAGCAAGGCTGTCTTGGGACCTGGAAGACAGAGGGCAACACAATAAAGTAGGACAGTGTCAGCCCACTAGACAGACGCTCAACACCCCAGATATCAAGACGTAGTTCCCAACCTGAGTCTTCCACTGACCATTCCCACTGGACATACTTTGAGCTACTAGTTAAAGCTGCAAAGTGGACCTGAGAATTCAGATCCAGGGTGTGGGCAGAGGGCAGTTCTACTGGCACTCAGCTGAACAGGCTTAGTTGGTGGGTTTTGTGCACAGGAAAATTTTAAAACCACTGTCCCAAAGGAACTTTTACTGAGCAATTACAACTAAATTGAATACTTTTGAAGAACCCTTCTTATCAAAGTGACCCAGTTGGCTGACACAAGAGTGCAAAGGGGGGTAACACGTGTAACCTCTCCTCACCAGTGGGCCAACAGCACAGGCAATGAGCAGGGATGAAGACGAGCAGGAGCAGCAGAGAAACAACAGAGGGGCAGGAGCGATTCACTCCGCCAGAGGACGCTTGGGAGAAGATGTGCTACAGGGGGAGGCTCGGCGCATAGCTCACCGCGGAGCCAAGATGGCGCGGTGTACGCTCTGAGGCGGTGCTTCTCAGGCTTTACCGCACATATGAATCCCTCAGAGATCCTGTTAAAGCGCAGGTTGTGTCTCAATAAACCCAGGCTATGTTGTCAGGCGATGTTGGTGAGCCGAAGATAGCACTTTGAGCGGCAAAGTTGAAATAGCAATGATCGTGATGAGTTAGATGAAATGTCTGTTCTATCTATTGTGAGGTGGGAACCGCACATGAGGCTGTGGTCTTTATTGACGCTTCTTTTCTGGAGAATGAGCTGACTTTGCTCTTTTCCCCAGGAATATCATTACCATTCTTCTGTAAGAGCACCCTGGGCCCAGCTGCATAGAGTTGCTTGTCTAAAAGGCAACTTCATCCAAAACCCAACATGAGCCATTCTCAGCACTGGATAGACTGGCTGGTACACTCTCCTGGTTATTGTTTTTGCCTGTTTCCCTGTAGATGTTGTGCTTCTTCCCTTCTCCTCAGGAAGACTTTTTATTTCTTGTATTGTATCCTCAAATTAAGACCAAGAGCACGTACGTCCTTCAGTGCACGTTGCCAGGGATCCTCAGGTCTGTCCTCGATGGTAAACCTCAGGCAGCTTCCTGAGACTGACGCTCTTCTCATTATGTTTGTTGGTCTTCAAGAAACCCCCTACACACACACACACACACACACACACACACACAAAGACATAGTGTTGAGGTGGAAACTTTCTCTTGGCCTCCAAACTATCCTGCCAACTGAAGGCAGAGGCTGGAGCAGTGGTATCTGAGTGCAGACTTTGGGGATAAACAACGTTAGGCTGAAATCTTCGTTCTGGCCCTAATTATATTTCTGATCCTCAATATCTTCACATGTAAAATAGGAACAACAAAAGTACCTGTACTTCTGAAAAGAATAAATAAACTAACTTGAGTAAAGAGCATGGTAACTGGTTCATTGTAGTTATTACAAAAAATTTGTAATATCATAATGACGGGACTTATCCGCCACCTCTGCTATAATATCCTTCACCCTACTTCTGTTGCAGTTCCAATCCCTATGAGGACCAAGTGCTCAGCTCACGTATCTAACTCCCCTTTCGACCTCCATATCAACCCTTGTTTCTGGTGGGTGCTGCCCTGGGTTTTGCCTGAAGCGAGCTCCTGCTTGTTTATTCCTTATAAAGCAGTCAATCTTGTTTGCACAGAAGGACAAATACACCCACACAAACCACATGTTTGCGCTCTCACATTTCAGTAGGAACTCTGCAGACAATCAGGACAGGCGGGGGGAAGGCAGTCCGGGGAGAAGCAGTACTGGGTGCTCTTGCCAGCCAAAGGCGTGGCCATGACAACTCACACATGAGTATTACTGAGGTTTTTCTGTTTGGGGTTCGGCTTTCTTAACTAGTGATTAAATCTAATCTGTCTCATATATTTAAAGTAACTAACTACTGTTCTGTGTTCTGGAGTACAGGTTCCTATTGCTGCAATGACAGGTCTTTCAGCTGTTATAAAGCCTTGTCACTTATTCCAAGATTGACTGAGGACCCTCGAGTTGTCTTGAAACATGTAAGTAATTACCCAGTTTATTCTGAAATCTGTTCGTCCTTCAACAATTACCTCTGCGAGCATCTCCACGCACCGTTCGCAAAGGTTCGGTGTAGCACACATATTGGAAAACAGGGCTGGCAGTGTCCTGTTGTGTTGTTTATTGTCTTACAACAGACTATTCCAGGTGGGTAATGGACTATGGGGAAGGGAGAGAAGACTGACCTCCTACTAATTTTCTTTCACACATTGATTTAGAGATGGTGAACTTTTATTTTAAGCTGGTGCTTTCCAAACTTTCAAAGATGTGTGGATTCATTCATGGAATATCTCCTGGTGCCTCCTAGGCATGGCAATGGAGTACACTAGGAATCACAGACACTACCAGGATTCATGTGTAGCAAAGCCCAGGGCAGCCTCTAGCTGTGGCTCTTTCCCCAGCAATGGTACCCCTTCTTTCACTATTTGGGGGCACTTTGGGGTGAATGTCCTCTTCTGAGAGTTTGAAGAGGAGCTAAAAACACCTCTTGGGCCTGGTACCAAAAGTTAAACAAAACAAGCATGAAGCTCCCTGCTAGGGGATTACAATCTAGCGATGGGACAACCTGATGCTAAGTACAGAGGCATACCTAATGAGAGGAAAATAGGAAGCAGTGCTCTTAAGCAGTTGTAGGATAGAACAAAGAGGAAGGTCTGAGCAGGTCATTCAAGGAGAAATCGGAATCACCCAAAGGCCAAAGGAACAAGTACATGAGCAGGTGCAATAGTCCCCTTTCTACCCTGAGTGTCAGGATAGAAAGACCATGAAACTGCAGTGTGGGAGCCACCCCTCAAACTCTGTGCTGAGTGTTTGCATTTTAGACCAAAGGCAATGGAAAGCTCCAAAACGTCTTAGACAGTAGGACCCCAACTCCACCCACTATGGATTAAATGTAGTTTCATCCCACTAACATTCACGTAGAGGCTTAACTCTCCAGTGTAACAGTATTGCAGTGGCGAGGACTTTAAGGGAGCCAATTAAGCCATAAGGGCACAACCTTGGAAGGGGTGAATGTTGGTCTTGTAGGAGTGGGTTAGGTCTCTTGGGTCTGGATCAGATACTGCAAAAAGGAGTTGTAAGAAAAGAGCGTCTAGGGGCTGGGGATTTAGCTCAGCGGCAAAAGCGCCTGCCTGGCAAGCGCAAGGTCGTGAGTTCGGTTCCTGGTACCGGAGAAAAAAAAACAAAAAAAAAAAAAAAAAAAAAAAAAGAAAAGAGCGTCTGGCCCCTGCTCTGCTCACCCTTCTCTTTCTATGTCCTCTCTCACTGTTTGAGCTCTCTCATATATGCTTCAGCCTTAATGTGTCCACATTATGATATTGTCAGAGGTCCTCACAAAAGGCCAACAGATAAAACAAGCCAAGATTTTAGCCTTCAAATTGTGAGCTAAATGAACTTTTCTTTGTAAAGACATCTGACCTCCAGTATTTTATGATAGCAACACAAAACGGAATGAGACACACCTCCTTTTTTAATTAAATGAAATCTTACTTGGAAGACCAATATTTAAAGTAGTTAAAGCAGAACTTCTCAGAAGTGAAGTACAAAGACCTTTTCCTTTTGAGTTACCTTTGAGACGCCTTCCTAGAACTTACTTCCGCAGGGCCCAGATAACTCACCACTGGAGGCCAAAGAACACCACGGATGGCAATGAGAGCTGAGAATGATTTCAGCTAGAGATGAGTGAATAGACTGGGACCAGTACCTGATGCCCAGCTGCTCTAGAAACATGTTTACTCCCATCCAACAGCCTCTCTCCTCCATGTTGTTCTCTAAGCATTGCTTTATGCTTTTACTAAGGGTGCATGTATACTTCACTGTTCGCCATGTTTTCAACTTTATGTAAATGATATGCTACATATTTTAGTACAACTTATTTAGCATTTAATGTTAAGAGATTCACACTGATATATATGTGTATGCACACACACACACACACACACACACACACACAGAGTCTCTGACCTACATGCTTCCAGTTTTCAACTTAACAGTGGTGGGAAAGCACACCTACGCAACCACTCTGTTTTTCGTTTTCAGGGCAGTGTTCAATAAATTTCATGAGATATTCAATTCCTTATTACAAAATAGGGTTGTGTTAGATTATCAGCCATACTAGTAGTTCTTTGCCCATCTATAGGCTAAGGTAAATACACTGTAATTATGGAAATACATGCCAAAATCATCATAAATGTCCTTTCATCATGATTATAAAGTTGAACAATATCAGTTAGGGATGATATGAGGTGATGGAGTATGTCATTCAGTAATGTAGGTGCATTTTCAACTTACAGTATTTTCAACTTACAATGAGTTTATTGTGACATACTGCATTGTAAGACAAAGAGCATATATACATAGGAATATATATATAATAGATATACAAGCAGTATATACATAATATGTATATAATATGTATACAGAGATACAATACAAGTTTATGCATACTTTCCATTATATGAGTATATAATTTGTCATTCTATTTTTTCTCATTTTGAACATTCCTTCAGCAAATATTTTTGTATATATCTTCTTGTGCATCTGGGTAAGAGTTGTTCCAGATTCACCAACAGTGTAACCCTTGGGTCGTGGTGTAAAGGCCTCCTTAACATGACAAGACACTGCCAAACCACTCTGTCTTGTCATAAAAATTTATAGTCTTTCCAAGAGTCTAAGTTTCCATTACTTCATATCATCCCTAACTGATACTGTTCAACTTTGTAATCATGATGAAAGGATATTTATAATGATTTCAGCATGTATTTCCATAATTATGAGTGTGGTTGATAATATTTTCATATTTTTATGACCCTCTCTATCCATGGATTCTGCATTCATAGGTTCAATTAATCATAGACCAAAAATAGTCAGAAAAAAATGTA